CGAACCTGGGACCTTTCAGTCCGCAGGCCGATACTCTACCACTGAGCCAAACCGGCTTTGGCTCTTTCCAGGATTCTAAACAAAGCTTGACATTGGAAATACCAAAGGGCCCGATGCTACTTCTATCAGCCAGGATAGCAGGCCCACTCTGAGTTTACCAGTGAGATTTATTTGACAGGAACCCGGCTGTGCACAGTTGTTGTTGTTGTTGTTGTTGTTGTTGTGTGTGTGTGCTGGGAAGTGAAAGTCTGCATGGGAGGATTAAAAAAGGAGTCACTAACCTCCTGGTAGGCCAGCATAAATGGACTGGTTGCAGGAAAACCTGCTAAGCACGCACATCTAGCTGCTGAAGTGAGACAGTGAAGGGGCAGCTCAGGGAGGGACTCATGGGAAGCACCTGCTGCTGTGTGATGACCACTTCCCTGCAGCTAATGCTAGGCGACTAGTAGAACCAACATTGGGAGGACAAGCTGGATGAGGCAGAGAGGAGAGATGAAACTCACCAGGAACTTCTTTGTCTGTTCATAGCACTATCTTACCATCACGACTTCTGAGGATCACAGCTCTCCTTGACTTCTGCTCTCCAGTCCTGTGCATGCTCCTCTTCAGGCAAATTCTAACTCAGAATATAGAGTAGGAAACACTATGAAACACAATTCCCAGCTTAAGTCAACAGAACAAAGTCCAGCAAACTCTTTCAACCATAAAAGATGCCTCAGCTCTGTTCAGAGGATGCAATGTGATGGGGAGAGTCCCAGTATTCACTTGCACACTCTAATCCCCACAAGTCCATGACTGGTTCACATCTAGTTCATGTATCTAGTTCATACCCAGTTCATTGTGTCCAGATTATAATGGTAATCTCTAGCACCTGTCTTCATGTCTGTCTTAGAGTGTTGCATAAATATACATTGAATGAGAAGAACTCATTCTAAGTCAGAAGCCCTGAGTTCACTTCTGTTTCTGCCACTGGGACAGTTATCTGTCTCTTGGCTCTCAACTTCATGCTTGTTCTTTTATATTCTCCTCTGTATGCACATGGTTGGAGTTCTAAAAATCACATTTTCTAGAAACCCTCAACTTAGCCAATGGAATAACATACATAAGGTTTTAAGGTAGGAAAAAGATGGAAGCTGTATTTTTTTCCTTTCCTGCTTCTGACTTTAGCAATTGTAGGAGCAATGCAACAACTACACTGAGAGTCCAGGTTATTTTTTGTTCTTTTTGTTTTTGTTTTTTAATGTATTTTATTGATTTTTTTTTACCAAGAAGAAGGGAGAGGGAGAGAGAGAGTTAGAAAGGTCGATGAGAGAGAAACATCGACCAGCTGCCTCTTGCACACCCCCTACCGGGGATGTGCCCGCAACCAAGGTACATGCCCTTGACCGGAATCGAACCTGGGACCTTTCAGTCCGCAGACCAACGCTCTACCACTGAGCCAAATAGGCTCCGGCAAGGCCAGATTATTTATTCAGTTTTAGATACACATCTTGCCCTCAGTAAAGCATGGCAAACAGGTAGCAAACAGACCGTCTCTAAGGTCAGTAAAGATCAGTAAGGTCTAATAAACATTTACTTGGAGGCTGTCAGGTCAGGAAATTGCTTCGAGCCACCACAATCTCCACATGAACAATCGGTGCCTAGCCTAGCCTAGGCCCTAAGTCCATGGGCCTCCTGCGTTCCTCAGTGCACGTTCATGATAGTGCTGTTATGTGGTGGCTTCTGGCAGATTGTCTAACCAAAGAGTCCTCCCTCTGGTAACAGCAGGAAGCAGCTGCACAGGCCTGGGCTGCGTTTCTCAGTCCCTTTTTCATCTAAGGTAAAATCAACTATATGTCTGGTTCTTACCAATTATAGATATCTGTTGCTTTCAGTTTAATGAATTGTTGCTTAACAATCTAAAGATTGTTTCTTTCTCCACTTTTTCTTCTCTGTCTGGACCCTAGGGGATGGTGGAGCCATAGACAAAAGGTGACAGAGTCCCTGAATCACTGTATGGAGGAAAGTTTTGTCTAACCTGCATTAGATTGATATAAGTAAGAAATGAATTTGTTGGATTAAGTCACTGAAATTAGCATTACCTTAATATACATCTCATGCCTACATTGCATGTTCTTTGTTCATCCTCTTCCTTCTGTTCAATTTCTCCCTTGTATTTGTTGATCTTTATATCTTTCACAGCTCCTAGCACACCATGCCTTCTATTGATATATAGTAGGCACTTAATTGTTGTTAATTCAAATTAGACATATTTCCTGCACTAATATAAATCCTTAAAATGAGCTTAAAACAGTTTCAAGGCAGAATATAGAAAAATGCATATTCTTATGATATAGTACAGACTGGGTAGAAGAAAACTTTTATTATAACCAGAAAAAAATTCATATAATAATAAGCTCAAATGAAAGATTTATTTCCTATTTCTAGGAGGCAGTTAAAATAAAAGATTGAGAAAGATGGCATTTTTCTGTGGCAGGGCAGGCTTTAAATAAAATTGAGATAGCTTTCTCATCTCTTTTCATTGTCTTTCTTACTGACCCCTTTCTTTCTTGTATTTCTCTAAACTTTTTATGTCCTTGTAAAAGAGAAGAACATTAGAGAGCTCTCTTCAATTAGCCCAATGCATTTGACAACCATCTTCCCAAGAGCCTGTTCCTGCGTTTGATAGGCACACTGTGTGGTGAACATTTCTGACCTTGGGGTAAGGCAATGCTCTGCCTGGCCTATGAGGGGGTATTTTTCAGCTGATGATCCTGCTGGCATCTCCTCTATGAATATGGAAATATTTCACTCCTAGAACATGAAAGATCCCATCTAACTCAATCATGCTTCAGATATCAGAGTGGAGCTTCTGTCTGAATTGTTATTTTAAAACTGATCCTCAACAAGAGGAGAAATTGTGTGTTTTGTTTTGCTTTCTTAAATAGCTTTTAGTTCTATTACTAGAGGCCCGGTGCATGAATTCGTGCCCAGGTGAAGTTCCTTGGCCTGGCTGGTGATTGGGGCCGATGGGGGAAGAAGGGAAGGCCTGCTGGCTGGGAGGAGAGGCCACAGGAGGTTGGCCAACCTCAGGAGGTTGGCTGTGGGAGCTTACTGACCATCAGGGGGCAGTTCCTGCATTGAGTGTCTGCTCCTGGTGGTCAATGTGCATCATAGTGACCCATCGACTGGTCGTTCGGTTGTTTGTTCACTTAGGCTTTATATATATAGATTTAAGTTTTATATATATAGATTTAATTCATTAATGACTACAAATAAAATATATTTTTTATTGTGCAGAAAACTTAAGAGTTGCTGGGTTGGATTGATGACATGAAGAGCATTGCTAGAAACCACAATCAATTTGGCTTCATGGAATGTTTTATTATATGATAATCATCTAAGCAGCTCTTTAAAACATTTAGACTCAGGATCATCCCTGAACCCTTGCTTGCTGAATCGGGTTCTGCAGAGTCAAAGGAGCTTAAAAATGATGGCTAATTATGCCTTCTGTAACAATGGCAAGTTTCCTTTGTGCATCTTTGTCTGTGTAATGGTTTTGCTAAGGTGATGAAAAGTTCAGATATTACAACCAGGTGTACAACTAGATGCCTAAGATAGAAAGACAAAGGCTGGTTCCTGTGCGCAGGGAACTCTGAGCAATTGCGTAGAGCCAGGAAGACTATATTGTAAATAAGGTGTCTTTTTAAAAAAAAAAAAAATATATATATTATTGTTTTTTTTACAGAGAGGAAGAGAGATGGGTAGAGAGTTAGAAACATTGATGAGAGAGAATCACCGATCAGCTGCCTCTTGCACACCCCCTACTGGGGATGTGTCTGCAACCAAGGTACATGCCCTTGACCAGAATCGAACCTGAGACCTTTCAGTCTGCAGGCTGATGCACTATCCACTGAGCCAAACCGTTTTCGGCTGTAAATAAGGTGTCTTAATAGTTTTATAATAATTGGCTATCTTGAGGCATGACAGCACGTGTATATTTGTTTTTTAGGTCATGCATCATGCCGTCTTCAACTTTCTGTCTCCAGTATTTAGTAGAAAAATGTAGAAAATAGTAGGGTTTTTTTTCCCCAAATGTCTGCTACATAAAGAACTTGATTCAGAAATCTTGGGTTTCAGTTTCTGTGTATTGCTTATTACTTGTGTTTCATTTATTCATTAAATGATTTCTTTCACTCTACCACCATATATAGAGTACCCATCATGTATCAGATATTATGCAATATGCTTCTAAAATAGAGCTGGATGAGAAATAGTTATTGTTGCTCTCTCAGCATCCAGATGGAGGGCAGGAGGCAGAGCAAGCTTGGTGCCATGTGATGAAATTTGTGAGTGAGTACAGAGGAGGCAGCCTGCTTCTGGAGAAGGTGAATAGGGAACAGTCAAGGATGGTTTCTTTTAGGAGAGGTGACGCTTGAATTGAGCCTTGATAAATCAGCAGAAGCCAGCAAGGTGGACAGGAGTTAGACTAGAGGGAAGGTGTTTAATGAAGAAGGAACAACCTATACAAGGAAAGGGGTTGGTGGATGCCAGGAAAGGGATGTGATGTTTGAAAAGGTATGTGTGGGACCACCGCAGGGCTTACCAGGAGACAGGTCATGACCTTTGATGCTTTGCTAAAGAAATGGAACTTTATCCTAAAGCTGAAAGATGGATATGACGTAACTTATAAACTCCATGGACGTGACATGGAGTTTATAAGTTACTTAACCTTGTAAGATTTTTTTTTTTTTAATCCATAAAATACAGAAAGTATTAGTTATCTCTCTGAAGGTTCCTGGGAAGATTGGAATATCCTATAGCATATGACAGAGATGGTGACCAATATTACTAATGCTATTCATGAAGGACTTGTTTGAGCACTCCGTGTGGATTGCCATTCAGTTCTCACAGCAATGCTCTTGACCCTGAATCTGTAAGTGGGACACACTTGCAATGAGGGTAGATTTGACTTGATTTATTTTCACTTTAAACATTCATTTCCCCTGAGACGCCAGGCCATGGAGGAGGAGGACGAGCTGAGGCTGCGCACCCTCCGGCTGCTGACCGAGTTCCTGGAGCACTGTGCCCAGAGGCCCAGCACCGCCCCGGGGCCGCCCCCCACGCCCGAGGCCGCCGTGCTGCGCTCCCTGGCCGCCCGGTCCTGGCTGGGGACCCCGCACTCCTGGTCCCAGCAGCAGAGACACCGCGTGGAGCAGGTGGTGGACCAGGCGGAGTGGCTGGTTCCGGAAGGCGCAGAGCCCACCTGGTTCAGCGTGCTGGCGCTCGTGTCCTTCGCGGGGGCCCTGCTGGAGAAGCCGCCGCCCGGCCACGCGCGGGCCCGGCGGGAGTGGGAGGCCACCGTGGACCGGGACTGCCAGCGCCTGGCGGCCTTCCTGTGCGGCTGGCTCACCGGGAAGCACCGCGCCTGGGTGGAGGCGCAGGGTGGCTGGGACGGCTTCTGCCACAGCTTCCTGCCTGCGCCGCAGGCTGCTTGGGGCAGGCTGCTGGCTCCACTGCTGATGTCATGCCTCATACACATCCTCTTAATCTGTTTGTGGATAAAATCATGGTTGCAAGATGTTTAACCAGTTTCTGCCTGCCTCCCTGCGACCAGCCAAGTGGATTGGAGGTGTGAAAATTAAGCAAAAACAAAACAGATTGAAGCATCTTCTGAGGCATTTTTTTACCTGCAGCCCTGTAAGGACTCCTCTGGTGATAATGCAGCCAGTGTTTTAACTCCTGACAAACACGTCAAGGTGTGTGAGGGCCAAGGCACCGGAGTGGCTCCTCTCTGATCGGGGGAAATGGGATGCAAAGGCTCACTGCTCCGGAGAATTGTAAAAGAAACGGCATTCCGTTACATGGGAAACCCGGTGCTACTTGCTACATTTAGATAAATAGGAACATGAGACTCTCATCTCTCCACAATTTCATGTGCTGCTGCTGGTCAGTTTATCAAGGCAGATGGGTGAGGGGTGAAATGGTGGAATGATATCGGGAGTGTCCCAAGTTCCACCCTAACAAAGAATGTAGCACTAACCCTTTATAAGGAATTCTTTCTAAAGCCTTTGAAATGGAATTTTTGTGTTTTAGAGTTAAATTTTATATTAGTGACTTCAATAAATTGTTTAATGTCTTCCAAGTTTTAATAAATTTATGCATCTTTTAAAAGAACCGTTGTTTCTCCTGACAGTTGTTCTAGAAGGCATGTAAGTGAACGAGAGTAAAGAAGGAAGAAGTGTTTTATTTTACTTTAAAATCACCTACAGTTAGCTGTCAAAAAAGGCTACCTGGCCCCTGTTTTTTTTTTTTTTTTTTAAGATGGCCTACGAACCAAGTTATTTGGTGGAGAGCATAAAGAAATAAGTAGTATTAACCAATCTCTTCTCTCTCTCCTGTCTCAAGACAAGACTCTCCCACAAGGCGTGGCTGCTTTCTTGCACCATGACTAAGCTGTGAGGAGGTCCCTGCTCAGGCTCCTGTTCATAGATGGTTTCCAAGGCTCAGAGGAAGGATATGTTAATTAAGTAAGGCACATTTTATTCCTGGGCTGTGTCCTGTAATAGTGTTGCCTGCCTATCTATCAGAAGATCTCCTCCTCATTGTTTTATCTTCCCTTTTGATCTATTAAAATTAGTGATTATCACCATTTTATTATTTTTTTGGTAATAGTTCTGAGAAGTGAAGTATAAAATATTTGGTTCATTTTTGTTGTTGTTGTGTGAATGGAGACAAAGGTTAGTAAATTAGAATCCAAAAGCAAACTATTTTCTAAGTAGTCCCTTTTGTTTAGGAACTATATATCTATATAATACAAATGTTTATTCAGGGTGAAACTTATTAACACTTTGGGAATAAAACTTTTAATCTTAGCTCCAATAGCATAAAGCAAAAACACAAAGGACTTTCGAAACCTGGATTAGTAAATCAGTTAATTAATTTAGAAAAAAAAGAAAATGTTGAAACCAAATCATCTTTTATTATAGAAAACCTATTCAGAGTTCCTGGACCTCTAATAATAAAGAACATGCTACCTAACATAATTCATAAAAAATTATGGTAAATTAACTTGCATTGAATTCTGAATGAAAATTATTTGTCGATGACATCCATTGTTTATGTGCAGTCTAATAAAGGAAATAAAGTTTTAAAGCAAAGCTATACTTTTTAGTTGCATTTAGCACAAATAAGTGACAACTCAGAAGATCCTACATACAGTGGTTCTTGGATAAAAATTTTTCATGATAAAATTACATTTTTAATAAAAGCTATTTGTGATAGTTTTGTGTGTACAGAAATTAGAAAGTAGGGTGTACTCTGCATTTTGCTGCTATGTGTCTAGGTAGGTATTAAATTGCTCATGCTCACTTACTGTCTAGACATTTTTTGTTCAATTGTAAATACAGACTTCTATGGTGCTTTTTCATTTCCAGCAGTATAATGAACTTTGATTATATTTCTTTTACAGTGTCCATTGAAATGTTTACAATTTCAAGGTAATAGAATTAACAATAACTTTCTTTGTCACTTTTCTGTAGTTAAAAGCAGATAGCCACTGTGCATGCTTTGAAATTTCTCACCCAAGGTTTTGAAAAAGAAGCTGCTTAATGGAGGTTATAAATTTGCATATAACAGAATAAAATATACTTTTGATGAAGAGACATGGATGGCACATGAAAGTCTGGTAAAGGACTGACTGCATCACCTCATCCAGAGACCTCATTGAACAAGAGTATTCTTCAAGCCATGAATAATCATGTAGACCATTTTATCTTAGCAATGCCACAGGGAAACAGAAAGAAAAGCAACAATGTCTTTTGAAGTCTGGCCCGTTTGATAGGAACCACTGATGTGTTTATGACACAGCCTCAGTGCAAATGTGTGTCCAACAATGTTTCAACACTTCACCGACAGCTAATTTGCAGCAAAAATATAAACTTGAAGATTGTATTAATAGGTGAGTTTTTGAAGGTGAACAAGCAAAGCAGTACTTGGTATTTACGTGTAAAATTTGTAGTTATGTGATTTTTTCTCTCTCACTTTGAGTACTATAGACAGTAAAGTTCTATTCCTGAAAATCAAGCACACTTCTCTGAAACTTACCTTAATGCTCTTTGTCAAATGGATACAAACATTTTATTTTAATATTAGACCTAGTGAGGAATTCAGAAAAGTGCACAAATTAAAAATCAGAACTTGTATTCCGATTATTAGGAAGTGCCTGTTTGAGGTCAAGGGCCACGGATGAAACCTTTGCAAAATCTCGTTTGAGGTTTTGGAATTTCACAGTCATTTTAGCTTCATGTAGGCACACGAAAGCCATTGCAAAATAGATAAGAAAATAGTTTGATTTTTAAATAGGCTGAAAATACGGAACATAGCCAAAAAAAAAAAAAAAATTCTTGCTTAGAAGTTATCAATAAAATCTAAGGTGTCTTACTGGCCTTTTTGGTTAGAATTCAAGTCACTTGTGCAATGTGATAACCAATTCATTTAAATTATGATCAGAAGGAATGTAAAGGCAGATTGATAAGAAATATATATATATATATATATTTGGAACTGCTTAAAGTTCTATAGAAACTTGAACACTTTGCTTTTGGATGAGTGGATAATTCTGGGTGATATCTGAAATGATGATGATAAAACAGATAGGCATATTACTTATTATTCTGACTTCCTGTGGTTGATGGCTTGAATTTTCTGAGCTGTGAAGGGTGTGGTAAGTAAATGTTCTTGTGTTTTGGAGTATGTGTGACTGGTGGAGCATACCTACATAGAAATGTGTCCGGGTAGGCAGAGTTCCCACCCTGGGGCACAGGGCCTGGTTTGTCTACTCTGTTGGTTTATCTGGTTTCTTTACTGCAAGATCAGAAAGATGCTTTGTTTTAGTTCTGCCTTGACTGTATGGAGGGATGTTTTTAGCTGAGAAGTTTGGGAACAAGAGAAAAGCTTGGTGGGAAATGCCTGAATCCTAACTGTAGGATTGAGAATCCTGTTTATGTACTTAATTTAAGGCAACTTTTCCATTTTAGTGTGATTCCATGCCTCCTTTCCCAAAGGACTGTTAACAACCAAAACCCACCAGCTTTTAGCTAATTTATTCAAGCTTGTCCCTGAATATTTTTTTCCTTCACTGCCAGGATTTCTGAAATGTTCCTGGTTTCCATGCAATTTCTGACACATGCCATTCCAAACATACCACTTATATCATAGATCTTCTGGGGAAGTTATGAAAAACGGTCAGTTCCTCATATGTAATTGTTTAGTTTCTTTCATTTTTTTCTTTCTAAAAGTATTTTATTTCATATTTCACAAAAAAGTTTATATATAAAGACAAAGTAAATAGAAGGGCAGCTTTCAATAGATAATGAATGAGACAATAGTAATTCAAACTGTACTATGGAAGCATATTTAATGCATACTTGAATGTTGTGCATAAATAATTTTTTAAAAACTTGTTTTTATTGATTTCAGACAGAGGAAGGGAGAGGGAGAAAGAGAAAAAACATCAATGAGGAGAGAGAATCATTGATTGGCTGCCTCTTGCATACCCCCTCCTGGGGATCAAGCAGCAACCTGAGCATGTACCCTGACCAGGAATGGAACCTTGACGTACTAGTTCATGAGTTGATGCTCAACCAATTGAGCCACACTGGGCGTGCATAAAGAATTTTAACTATGTACTCCAGGTTCCAGGTTTTTTATTTATTTATTTATTTTTATTTTTTTATTTTTATAGATCTGGTATATAAGACACTTGTAGTTATTTTGGGAGTGGTAAAGCCAATGTTAAGCTACTTATATTTGAGTACCACTGTAAATATAGGAGGTTAACTAACAAAATAGTAATCTTCAAAGTTCTCTTTGTTTTATGCTCACACCTTTGTAATCTCACTCCATTTGCTAATTTCCCTTCCTGTAGTACTCTTGAGTTCCTTATGCATCTTACCCATCTTCTTTCTCTGAGCCTTCCCATACATTGCCATTCTCTTCTTCTTGGGAAAAAAAAATCAGTATAGAGATTCCACAGGTAATTAGCTGTCACCACAATCACAATGATAGCAATCATGCCCATTCTTATGCCCTGCATTGAAAATTCAGGTGCTTTTTCACGGACATGATGCATTGAAGTTTAACTGGGGTCCAAATATCCCACAGTTTACTTTAAATACCTTGTTTTTATTTATGGTATTTGTAAGGAGGCATTTTCTAAAATGTCTGCCATAAATCACTATGGCTTTTTTCTTTCTTTCTTGACTAAAGCAGTATTTTAGAAACATTTTTTTTCACTGTGATTCACACCGAGAAACACATTTTACATTATAATTCATTACAAATATATGTACATATATTAATGAAACGAAAGCGAGTTAATGAGACAGTATTCATCATTGTGATGCACATGTACTCACTTATTTTTCTATTCTTGTCTCGTCTATTTTATTAAGAAACATGGTTTGATTTCATGACCTGCTTATAGAGTAGACGCCTCAAGTAATAAGCAAGTGCTTAGAAACACATCTTTGCCTGCCCTCTGAGTGCGCTACACCCGTGAGCTCTCTGCTCTTTTCACCTGTCTCCA